CACACTAATGGGAAAGTGTCCAAACTTTTGACTGGTACTGTACTATAATATACACAAAGGATATCGGCCGATATATCGATATCTGCCTTTTTTTTACTCCTTAATATCGGTATCGGCCCCAAAAAAAACATATTGGTTGGGCTGTAGTCCGTTCCATATACTAGAAGAATAATGGTACATTTAATAAGAGTGGAATATATACATTTTCTATATAAAAATTAGATAGATTTAGATTGCACCTGTTACTGTTGTTAATAAAAGGACATTTTGTATGCATCTTAACTCAAGCTTAGTGCTTTACTGTCAAATCTGTATAAACAATAATCAAAGAAAAATAAACAAGAAATGAACATGTATTATTATTAGTAACTGCAATTATTAATGCAAAACAATAGTAATTTTATGATTAAATTATCTATATTTTACAAATCTGCTCCTGGCACCACCATCTGTAAAACTTTGTGGCGCTGGTGCCACTGCTCTCAAATAGGGCATGCGATATTTAATGCGCATCTTGTCAGTAAAGCCGGTTCTGAATACAGCGGTAAATCTCCATCACGTGCAGGCTTTTCACATAGAGTAAATAGTAAGTAAATGCTGCTCCATGTGAAAGCCCGCATGTGATGGAGATTTACCGCTGATTACAGAATCGGCTTTACTAACAAGATACGCATTAAATATCGCATGCGATTTATCGTGCAGCCCTACTCTCAAATGTTAGTCTGGAGCCCTGAACCTTTAACTTTAATGTGCTATTTATATTTGATTTGACCCTTGATGTAACTAAAAGCCCGTTTCCACCGCAGGAACTTTCCCCAGGAACTAGGGACTTTGGGGCGGTACCGCAGGAACCAGGATCTAAATAAAGTTCCGGGTAGGGGTGTGCTGGTACGAGTATCAGTACCGAAAGGTTCACGGGGAAAATTCCAAATGGAAGTGATTTGGAAGTGATTTTCCATGATTTGGAGTGAGCAGGGCACGTGCGTGCCATTATGTAGTCGTTTGGAATGCACTTGGCAAAGGGAGCGATGTAATTTCCTCATTATCTTCAGCTGGCATGTTCCCGTGACAACCCAGCACGGTGTATGTCAGCAGATGTCCCTGTTTTACTGTCATAAATGTATTTGTATTGTTGTTAGCATAACTGTTGCAAATAAACATACATTTTATATTTTAAAAAGTTACTGACCTGATTTACTAGTTACTGACCTGATGCAGACCCATATAGCTGAATCTGACTGAAAATGTCCTGGTAACGTGAAAATAAGCGGGGCATTAGAGCGTGCTGCACTTCCACTTTTCACCACAGATTTACATTGTAAAATGTGTGGGGCGCTGTTGAGTTCAGGAGGGCACAGGCACGACTGCCCCACTTATGATCATTTTACGTGCCTGCAGAAGCTTGCGATGAATTTTATGAATATGAATATCCTGCGCATTTTATGACTTAAAATTCTCAAAGAAAACCCAAAAACTATTTGTTGCAGAAAGCTGAACATATTAACAGTTACTTACATATTAACAGTTATGTTTTGGGTGAATATTTTGGTGGGGCTCTGCCCCACCTGCCCTTACAGACGAGCCGCGCCTGCTAGTAGGATAAAACGTAATTACGCTTTTGAAACGATCCGTTTTGCCCGGCCATCGTTAGCTGAAGCTGAACGAGGTGCGGCTGCAAAGTGTGAGCTGCTCCATCTCACATGCAGCCTCAGAGGGAGAGAGGTTCTCCGGTACAGCGTTCCACAACAACAATGCTTAGCTGCCGCAGATGCAACTTCCTATAAATCGGCCTAATTTTCAGCACAATCGGCCGATGCCAATAAATTAAAAGATGCCAAAAATCAATCGGTTGAGATCATGAATAGACATGCTGCTTTTGTCTCCATGGATGCAACACACCACATATGCATTAAAACACAAAGTTGAGAGTTACAACACAGAATGAACAGTTAAAAACAAAAAGCAAATAAAAGTCAAAGTTGTTTAATTAATTATACAAAGAACAAAATATTGAATCCTCATATTGTGTAGAATTATCGTTATACATTAAGCACATAGGCAGAGGGTGATCTAACGTAAGGCTAGCTCAAGTTTATGCACTCTCCAAAAAAAAAAAAAAAACTCCATTTATAATCAATGAAGTTGTCCACAGTGTGAAATGAATCTCTTACTTACATCATACGCACTGCACTTTGTTGTTTATAATGAGAGAATTCACAAGAGTACAGAATCCACTGCATTCATAAGCTCAACAGAATTGTGAGTGATAGGTTATAATTAGCAACACTGTAAAAACATGTAAAAATAAATTATAACCTGATAACCTTGTCAGGCAGATTTTTTTGGTGTTTTTTTTTGTAATTACATGTTGACTGTTGTCTTATGCTGCCTTCACGTGCTATTGGAATTATCATAAACACGAGTTTCCTAATTGGAAATTGGACATGAACGGCCTCTCAAGTCATATGTTGGACGGGCCATACATTTTAAACATGGCAGAGGGGACAACGATCGCTGCTGTCAGTGCTATTCTTTATTAGTTTTTTCCACAACAACTCCATTAACTTGTCTTGTCATTAAAGTAAAACATTTATATATGAACAATCATTGAAGCATATTGCATATTTTATAAACAGAGAATAAAGCATGTATTTGACCAAAATTCAAGAATCGTCAGCAAGCTGACTATCTGGCGTGGTGAATGTTTATATGGTATCAACTAGCTCGTAATCACGACTTCATAAGTGGGAAATGAGAAATTCCTGATCGAACATGAAGGCACCATTACATATTAAACAACAAGCAGAGTCCGTCTCTCCAATCATGCAAACGTAATGTCAGTGAAACTGCATGATGAACTGCCTTGAGCGCTGAAATTATATTTGAATTGTTAATTTCACCAGATAAAGTTAGAAATTTACTGAAAACAAGCCAATCGCAAGACATCTGGTGGGGGGTGGCAAACCAGATTTCAGTGGGGGCCGGTACCAGCCCAGGCCACCATAGGGCCTTTCGCACCGCGGGAACCTTTTCATAGTACCAGAACTAATTGTGGAACTACCCACTTTTTGGCGTTTTCGCACCGCCGGAACTGGGTGCGATTTTAGTACCGGACTGCCTTTTTCGAGAACCAAATTAGCTCCTACTCCCGAGCAGGGTCTAACCAGCACAACTGGTACTACACATAACGTAAGTAGACATTGATTGGTCAAACGTGTACGAAAACGCCCTCACCCGCCATGATTTAAAAATGCCATGTAAACATACTGTAAACACTGTAAACTTATTTCGCAAGTATGGAGAACAGCGATAGATGGACGGACGCTGAAGTGCAGGCACTTGTAGCAAATGTAGCACTGCCAGTTGTCATTGGAGATTCTTAGTCCTCCTTTCCATTCTTTCAATCGATTTACGTACACGTCGACTTTCCATGTCCATTATTGTGAAACCCGCGAGACTCAACAAAAACAGCTCAGATCACAGCGTCCTCCATCCTCCTGTTGTTCTTCTTTGTTTCTGTTGTTGAACGCCGCGCACAAATGACGTCGCTGTCGACCGGCTTACGTCACTTCCTAATACACACTGTCGGTGCGAATGTAACCCTTTAAATGGTACTGGGAAATAGTTCGCGCAAAATCGTCCCAGTACTTTAGCACTGTACATTTAGTTCTGGAACTAAAGCGGTGTGAAAGGCCCTCATGTCACTCCGCCCCTGTTGGGAGGCAAACTAATGGACCCTTTTCACGGGTTTCTCAGCAGCGGAAGTCGTCATAGTTGGGTTAACTTGAAGAGCAGTGAATGGGAGAGTACAACAAATATATTTTTTGCATTCCCATTTGCTCAAATAGCAAAAGAAAAACTCCACGATAGTGTTTTCGTGACTTTCAAAAAAAGGAAAAAAATTGAGAGAGACTCTTAACGGCAGTCAGAAGAAAGAACAATGTCAAATTTACCATCCCTCCCAAAGATGCTGTATTAGAAACACCCTCGCATTAGCCTTAACTGTTTTTTTTTTTGTAATTTGATGCAAAGGTGATATAATACAAAGAATAGTGTTATAAATGTACATACATTTTTTTTTACAAATATGAAACACTTTCGAGGATGTACGATGCTGATCGCATCATCAGTCTTGTGAAAAGGGTCCATCATTCCTGTTTCCGGTACAGGCTGCATAACTTCAGCTTATGGGGATCTGATGTGACAGAAGAACGAACGACTTGGACCAGAAGGCTTGGGAGATGAAGTGAACCAAGACTGCATAGCCTTAAGACCCAGCTAAGCAATTAAATAATAATTTCTACTTCTTATAATTTGGCCTTGGCTGCATTATAGTTTTGTCTTATTTGAAATGTGATCAGTGTTTGTGTAAGTACACGTGTTGGGGAATTGATGTTAACATGCAAGATTTTAATTACATTCTGCTGAAATGAACGAAGTGACTGTAAAAAAAAACAGATGAACTAATTTAGCTGAACGAGATTCAAAGACCCGAGTCAGCCCCCAGCGGCGAGGCATTACACTTTCAAACCCGCTATGATGTAACGAAGCCTCTTTTCCTGAAAGCACGTGACTTCGGCAGTTTGAAGCGCTCTCACGTTGGTTTGAAACAAATGAGCGATGAAACTTGTATTCCACACGCACTGTAGAGAAATAAACGGACAATTTAAGGGTTACAAACATGTAACGTGTCGGCCATCCCCAGAGCCTTCATCAGAACGCTAAACCTATCTATAGACCATAAAAACAAAAAGGACATATGCGCCCAAATCCCGCTTTCCGTTTGTCCTTTCTCGTTATTTCTTTACGAAGTGTAAATAAAACTGTCAAACCGTACACGGGCGAAACTTTTGTGTGCAAGTAACTTTACTGTCGTTTCTCCCTGATGGTTGAGGCCGAAGTCGAGCACACCTCAGTTACATATTCTAAACGGAGCTCGCGGGTTTCCCAATGGTCACGTGTGGCATTTGTTTATTTGTAAACATACAAACTTGGCCTACCTTACTATCATCTTCGAGAACCTGCGGTTACTTGACTTGGCCAAATACCCACACTTGCTGTCTTGGCCACTTGAGAGCAGGAAGTGGGCGGTTCGATTGATACTTTCCATACTGATGTTGTATCGAAAGGATCGATCCTCGCATAAAAATATCGATTCTAAAGTGCATTTTTTTAACCATTAATTGTATTCATTTATCAGGAAATTTGGTGCATAAAATAAACTTCTAAGTGGAAAAATAGACTATATTAGCGAATAATTGTGTTGGATAGCCATTTCTCCTCATCGGAACACGCAAAATCTGAAAGCTAGGGATGGGCATATCGATCCTAAGTATCGATATATCGATACTGACGCGAGTATCGAAAGTATCGATACTCAAACAAAAAATATCGATACTAAGGTGTGTTTTATTTACCAGTGATTTCGTTTATTTAAAATAATAATAATAATAATAATGCGTACAAATGCATTGAATTAAACAAATAACCTTTGTTCGCAAGTAATTGTGTAGGATATATCTATTTTCCTGCTCATCTGAACACACGCAAATGTTGCAAGACAGAACTAATCAATCACAGAGAGCGTTCACTCACTGCTGACAGTGCATTCAAACAGCTGCGTTTCCCAAAAGTATCATAAGAAAGCATTAAAGCTTTTGGGAACAGCAGCCCTGAACAATGCTTATCAGAGGACAGAAAAAAACATATGTTTGAGTTATTTCACAATAAACAAATCGTAGCCTACATAGTTTGTACAATTACATTTATTTAAATTGAACGTTGAAAGATAATATAGATCATGTTCTATTCAGTAATGTTAATAGAAATCATACACTGTCAGAACAAAAAGGTTGCATTTTATGGATGCAACAGCCGGTCACTGGCAGTCCCTTATGATAATGAACCATGGTTTTACTAAAGTGACCATAGTTCAACTGTAGTATTTGTAGATTTGAATCATGTGTAAACAAAAACACATTTGAACCATGTGCAAACAAATATATAACCTAATAAATTACAATTAAGGCGTATTGAATGTTAAAATGTGTTTTAAACAAAGTTAAGTGGTTATCATTACCCATTTTACTCTTAGTAATTTAATAATTTAATACATTTCATCATTTAAAAGTTTAGTTCAGAAGTATCGTATCGGTATCGGTATCGACGATACTGCCTTGAAAAATATCGGTATCGTATCGAAAACAAAATAAGTGGTATCGCCCATCCCTACTGAAAGCCAGAACCAACCAATCTCAGACAGCGTTCGCTGCTGACGCTGCTTCTTCTTCTTTTGATTTAATGGCGAGTTGCGAACCAACTTCAAAGGTGCATATCGCCACCTACTGTGATGGAGTGTGAAAAGAATGCACAAACCCTCCTATATCCTATAGCCCACTATTCTTAATAAATCTCATGACTGCATGTATTTGTTTTCCTGAATTTGGACCGCCATTTAATAAGCTGGTTATAGTAAATTCCTGGCATCCTACTGCTTGTAATTCTTCCTTAAGAATCCTCCTTTCTATTTCATATATCTTACATATCTTCATAACATGCTCTACACTGTAAAAAAAAAAAACTGTTATTTTACGGAATTTTACCGTTTTTCAAGTATTTTTGAAATACAGTAAAATTACACAAATAGACTGTAAATTTACAAATCCCGTGTAAAATCACATAAAAAAATGTCAACATACATAACATTTATTCTTCCACATAACACCAATCCATGACCTAGGCAGTCTTCCTTCTGCCCATATTTTATTATACAAGTCCAATACTGCTTTAAGAATTCTATCATTTGCGTATTTAAGCAAATTCCATCTTGTCCAGGTGCTGTTTCGTTTTATCCTATGAAGTACCCTTTTAAGTTCCCATATTTCAAAGTTAGCATCAAATGCCCCTTTTCCATCATGTCTCTTAGTATAAATATCACGATGTTGATTCAAAATTCCCTGTCTTTTCATTCTATACTTCTCATCTAGATTTTCTGTACTGTGCGCTTTCTGAAAGGTTTTAACTAATAATTTTTTCTTGTCCTGTTCTGTAATAGCCGTCCTTCCTTCTCCTGAGATAACTGGTATATTCCTGGTTTTATATACTCCAATCATCTTCTTTAACATACTCCATACCTTTCCTAATTATGGAAGCACAATACTCTCTCCAATATTTATTTTTTGCCTGCTTAATTGTCCTTCTAGCCTTTGCTCTCTCCCTCTGATATTCTATTACTGCTTCTGATGTCAGAGTTCTTTTCAGCCTTTTAAATGCTTTATTTCTGCTTTTAATTGAATTACTGCATTCATCGTTCCACCATGGAACAGCTTTCTTCCTCCCATTTCCTTCAACTTTTGGTATACTTTCTTCTGCCGCTTTGACTAAAATCAAAATTAATTTCTCTGTACAATTATCAATATCATCCTCTGTACTATAATTCTTTAATT